ACCATCATTGAGTGCTTGTAATAACTTCCGATTGTGATCTATAGTTGATTTTGATTAATAAGCAGACACATGCACTTTTTGTATGTTTAATAACGCTACACTGCTAATATTTGTCATAAACATCCTTTATTGCTATAAAAATACCATGAGCTGCATACAAAACACATACAGAAAATATATCGTCAAAATCATGTCTATTTGCTTTCATATTTCATGTGTAGAAAAAGAGTTAACGCGCTCTGACTCATAACACTCGCGCACGTGGAAGAAAAAACGGTGCTCTACTGTGATTACATAATTCAGTGGAAAATTAATAGAAATGTTATTCTGTATAAAGAACATGTTTATTTTATTTAGTCATTTAGCAGACGCTTTTATCCAAAGCGACTTACAAATGAGGACAACAGAAGCAATCAAGTTAAGGGGTTAAACCATCATCGAGTGCTTGTAATAACTTCCGATTGTGATCTATAGTTGATTTTGATTCATAAGCAGACACATGCACTCTTTGTATGTTTAATAACACTACACTTCTAATATTTGTCATAAACATCCTTTATTGCTATAAAAATACCATGAGCTGCATACAAAACACATACAGAAAATATATAGTCATAATCATATGTCTATTTGCTTTCATATTTCATTTTTAGAAAAAGAGTGAACGCGCTCTGACTCATAACACTCGCGCACATGGAAGAAAATGGACGGTGCTCTACAGATCACATGATTCAGTGGAAAACTGAAACAGAAGTGAAACAAGTAGTAGGAAAATGTAGAAAAAACATGTGAGAATAAATCTGTTCTCAAATACTAACGATAACAAGAACTCGGCATCCACTCTTTTCTCTTATCCGGGATACTCTTCTTCGATGTTTGTTTACACTGGTTTTCGAAACGGTGCCACCACTCTCACCCTTTTGTACAACAGCAGCTGCTCCGGTCACATGATGTAATGCTAAAATCTTATTGGACGGCCCGTGATTTCGCTTTGCGAAACTGAAAAGATTTGTCGGACTCATTCGGAAAAACAAATTCGCATTTTCGGAGCGCGAATGTTCGCGATCTATGTGGAAGCATCCATAGAAATCTATTGTTTTATTCCAGCGCGTCATCACGTCCGATATTAGTTTAGATTTTTCGCGTTCAGTGTGGAAAGGCCTTAAGACTTAAGTTCAGATTTTGCCACCATGCTCACGTAATGAATTGTGTGAATGTTGCCAGTGGTGGTCTGTTAAAGATCATTTAGGTAAAAAAAAAAAAAAAAGCTTTTCTGGTTTTCGAAACGGTGCCACCACTCTCACCCTTTTGTACAACAGCAGCTGCTCCGGTCACATGATGTAATGCTAAAATCTTATTGGACGGCCCGTGATTTCGCTTTGCGAAACTGAAAAGATTTGTCGGACTCATTCGGAAAAACAAATTCGCATTTTCGGAGCGCGAATGTTCGCGATCTATGTGGAAGCATCCATAGAAATCTATTGTTTTATTCCAGCGCGTCATCACGTCCGATATTAGTTTAGATTTTTCGCGTTCAGTGTGGAAAGGCCTTAAGACTTAAGTTCAGATTTTGCCACCATGCTCACGTAATGAATTGTGTGAATGTTGCCAGTGGTGGTCTGTTAAAGATCATTTAGGTAAAAAAAAAAAAAAAAAAAAGCTTTTCACATTACACTTGAGTCCAACATCTTTTTTTGTTAAATCCAGATTCTAAGCTCAGGTTTAGCCCTGGGTTACACAAATGCTTACTTTTAAAATTGGGTTAGTAGTGCCACTTTTAACCCTGAATTGTGGTGCCAAAGATATAATACCAATGCAGTCATGAAATGTCATGCATTAAGTTGGTTAAAAGCAAATAACTTAAACAATGCTTGCTTGCTTTAAATATTAATGGCAATCTGATAATCACAGAAACATTCACATGCTGCATCTGAATGATTTAAAAATGTCGAACAGTGAAGGCAAATGCCTTAAATAGAATGGTGTACTTCCTCTCTGTTAATTTGATCTAACAGTTTAATTGTATATAAATAAATCGCCTTTACTGCTTTCTGAGAATATTGTGCTCAAGTTGTTTTTGTGTGTGTATGGTCCTTCAGGTAATTGGCGCAGTCAACAGGTGTTTTTGAGTTGTTCTGTAGGCTTGTTTTTCTTGACGGATGTCTTTCATCTGTGTGTAAACAGGTAAACGCTACGATGAGAAGGTGGATAATTTCTCCTTTGGCATTGTGCTTTGTGAGGTAAGAGTCTTTTGTTGTGGTAAACATCTCTGACCCTTTATGAGGACAGCATGTGCTCCTAGAACTGTCATTTATGTAAGTTAAGTTGAGCTTGACTGGTTTGAGTCAAAACTGCTACATTTTAGTCTCAGTCGTGTAAGAGGACACTTCATGTTTATTTCACTCTCATTTGTCCTTATTCATTTTTAACTCTTCTTTTGGTGTAGATAATCGGTCAGGTTTATGCAGATCCTGAGTGTCTCCCGAGAACGCTGGACTTTGGGCTCAATGTGAGAAAATTCATTGAGAAATTTCTTCCTGAACACTGTCCTCCAGCTTTCTTTGCATTGGCTGTGGCTTGTTGTGATCTCATCCCTGACAACCGGTAAGTGCCACTGTTTTGTCATGAATGTTCAGCGGTAATATTGAAGGTGAGTTTAAAATAGAAACGATAGGTTATTCCCCAGTAAGACAGATGTGAAATGATCATTTCCTTTGGGTGGTGTGGCGTTCTGATTAATGATCCGCGCTTGTGAAAGTTGCAGGTTTAAACCCTGAACTGGGATTTTCAGGTTTCCGTGAAGAATACTTTTATTCATTAAATTGATTAAAAGTGACATTTTGTTTTGTGAATGTATTGTTCAAATTAATGCTGTTCTTTTGAACTTTCTATTTAGCAAGGAATCCTGAAAATAAAGTATCATGGCTTCTACAGAAATATTAAGCAGCACAACTGTTTTCAACTGATAATAAGAAATGTTTCTTGAGCACCAAATCCCCATATTAAAGTGATTTCTGAAGGATCATGCGACACTGAAGACTGCATTAAGAGCTGCTGAATATTCAGCAGGAATAATAAACCATTTAAAATGAACAGCTATTTTGAATTGTAATGGTATTTCATAATATTAGAGCTTTGGATTTTTGATCAATTAAATGCTGCCTTTGTGAGCATAAAAGACTTCTTTTAAAAACCATACCGACCCCAAACGTTTGAACAGTAGTGTATCTAGATATCACATGTATAATGGTGATTAACATTACCCTATAATAGATAGAAATACTTTGTGTTCTTACCTCTTTCCTCTTCCTGTCTTCTTCAGGCCTGCTTTTCAGAAGTTGGAGGACTGTTTTGAGGCATTAGCTCTGAATCAGGAGTTGAATATCCCTCTGCCTGCTGAACTGGATGATCTTCAGCAGACGTTTTTAAGGACTTATGGACCCAGTGAAATTGCCTCTGAAAACCAGGAAAACAACATAGACTAATCCAACAGCAGCACAGGCTGAGATGTGGGCTGGATTTTGATGAGTTTACAGAACTGAATCGGAGCATTTACCTTGGGTTTGCATACTGGGAACATGCTGATGCTGGTGTTCCTCTGAGAGGTCTGTCATGATGCTCAGAACTTTGAGGGCATTCTAGAACTGCAAAAGAGTTCTGTTAAAGGAACAGGTACATTTCAGTGACCTTGAGCTTCTTTGTGACATTTTTTCCCCTTCTGTCTACTGTGGATGGTTTAATTTTGATTTAACCATGTAGCACAAACCGATCTCGCTAATGAAGTTTCAAATGTCAGATTTTTTCATAGTGTAGCATCCATTAAATTGATAAATTTTCAATCACAACAATTATAAAAGTGTGTTTGTCATTAAACCTTTCAAGAACATGTCTGGGTCATATTTTACCCCTCACTAAAAAAGAAGTGAGGCATTTGAGGCCATTAGGATTAGATTTTAAGACAATTATGCACACCACCCTCCCACATTCTGAGCAATTATATTATTTAAAGTTGTATTGTTTATGCCAATCTAAATAATAAAAACATCACTGAGAATATTGGGAATTGCAAAAAAAAAAAAGAACGAAAAAATAATAATAATTTAGGAGGAAATGTGCTTAATTGTCCTAGAAGTGTAAACGTTAAAATTGGGTTTAATGTGACCAGGACATGTTTTCAGGTGATTAACCTCTTTATTTCAAAGTATAAAAATATGGAAGGTTCTATTGATTCATGAAATTGAACTCTAGGAATGTAAAGCAAACATTGTTGAAGCACACTGCCCCCTGCAGGCCGTTGTGCTTAAGTGCACTCAATCCCTTGACTGTTTCTGTGGCACATTTCCTCTTTTTTTTTTTTTCACTCACAATTTGATATTTTTTGTAAGTGTTTAAGCAGCCACATGGAGGCGCTGTTGTGTACAGAATAAGATGCTGACAGTAGTTCTGCTCTGAACAGCATTCAACTGTTACTATTTCTGCACAAAACAGCAAGTCTTATAGAAGACCTACTAGATTTGCTGAAATATCCCACAACTATATCCCACAATGCCGTGTGCTCGACTTGACCTATTATTTCCAGTTTGACAATGGCCAGGACGTTTTATGTGCGACATTTCACTGGATTTATAAGTTCAATAAAACAGGCCACTTGTTAAGTCGAAACATACACATAACGAGTTCATAGTGTAATATTTTCCAAACCTGCTCCTGGAGTATCCCCAGCACTGCACGCTTAGACTCCAGAATAGAATTTCAGATGGCATTTTAGGCACCTTAAAAAAGCTCGTTTCAAACCAAAATGGGCAACCGGTCATTTTAAGAAGCCGTTAATAAAGGCTCCACGCGGTATTCACTTCAAACACCAATACATGACTTCAAAGATGTAATTTTGCCATTTATGATCTCGTGATCCTGAGTGGCGCGGAAGATCCGGTTGCATAAAGCACCTTCGCAAAGACCCGCCCCCCTTAGTTACTGTTGCTACGTCCGACAAGCAATGGTGTCATGTTCTTACACAGTGAAAAATACACTGCAAGGACGCTGACAGACAAGACAGAGCAGGTTACTTTTGGTATGAAACAAGTCTCAGCTTTCAAATGTTGTAATTTTTATGAAATTTAAACAATAATTACCGTTTTGTTGGTCTTTAATGTGTCGGGACAGAACGCTGCGCCTCCGTTCAAGCGGCTCGTGAACCAATCATCTCTTCGTGTTTACTAGTTATAGCACGAAATAAACATTAATGAACAAATTTTGTTTCAAACGCAGAAACGTGTAAATAAATACACATAATTTTTAAAGTTCAAGTCCACCATTGTTAATCTTCTTCCCTGTCTGGTTTGTTTGTTGGCCAGAGTGGCGGAGTCTTATGATAGGTCAGATCGCCTGTCAATCAAACTCCCAGCAAAGGATCAGTCAAAACAGTTTAAATTCAACTTAGAACATTTATTTATTACTAAAAATTGGTCAAAAATTACAGTTGAGACTTAGTTAAGTTTAAAACTTTAAAGACTTAAAAAAAGAAAAAGCATTGCGGTTTCCAGACTTCATTAAGTACCTTAACCATTTGAAACATTTATAGAGTATAAAGTAGGTTTATATATAAGTAGGCTACCAGATCAGCGTTTTATAATTATTATTTAAGGATCAAGACTGGAGTAATGGCTGCAGAAGAGTCAGCTTTGTCATACAGGTAAAATTAAATTTGAAAATATATACTAAAATAGAAGCAGTTATTTTAAATTGTAATATTTCACAAAACGTTTTAACTAATTTTTGACCAAATGAATGTAGCCCTGGTGAGCATATATTCTTTCAAAACTAAAAATCATAGTGATTTCAAATTGTTTTGATGAGTATTATGTACTTATATACTACTAAAAACAAATAGGCAGTGGTCAGCGTTTACTACACTGTATGCAAGTCTTCCATCTGAACTTTTTTGCCCCTTTACTCTCATAATGTGCAGGAAAGTAAACATAGCTACTAAGTGATATATGGAGGAAGATACTGCAAAAACATGTCAAAAAAGGACAACGATATAATTTTCTTCAAACTGATTTTATTTCATAGCAGTAAAAAACTGCTAAAAATAAAAACACAAGATCTTCCGGAACCTTAAGCAGTTGTACAATCAACCCTGGGAAAATAAATGCATACATCAAAAAAATCCCATCTCTGTAAAATGAAACCATAGTACATTATTTTAATACGTCATCTTGAACACTCTCTCAGTTTCAGGTTCATGCTTCAAACTATGTCCTATTTCAGACCATCTGTATGGTCAGGAACAAATGAACACTGATATAGAAAATGTAACCAGAGACCCACTCTGACTGGTTTGCTGAAGTCATGACAGCGCTCACTTGCTCTTTATCAGATTGTGGCCACAGAAGCAACAATACATTCAAATGTAATTTACTAAGGCAAGATCTCTGGAAAGCTTTCCTCTTCATTTAGTCAAAACCTTCACCTAGCTTAGCTCTAGCATCCCAGGCCACATGATCTGCCTAATGAATATGGATTTCTGGGAAAGAGCTATCAAAGGCAATTAACTAAATTAGCTCTAGTTGCTAACCAAAGCTCCCTACAGAATAAACAGCCCAGCTGTAAAGCAACAGATTCAGATACACATGTACAATTTCAGTCTCAACTCTCCACCACAACTGCATTAGGAACAAAAACAACAGAAAAGGCAGGAAAGAAGATAAGAATGGATTGTCTTCTCTTTCAAAACCCCAGAACATCTGATGATCTGATCCATCGACACTTCATAAGAGGACACGGAGCAGTTAACTGGACCGTCGCCGACCGTCTCATTGGAGTTTAACAAGCAGGGAAAGTTCATGCCCTGTGATGATGTTCACAAAACGTACTTGCAATTTTTCTCCACGTGAATCCCTGACATGCATATTTATACAAACCCACCATTTCACCTTTTCCAGTGTATCCCCACATGTCCTACTTTCCCCAACAACTTTGTTGAGGAAATAAGGACACCATCTGGGACAAAAAAAAAAGCTTTCCACCGCTCTCTCAAGGCATATGCCCTACCTTTACTGTGAAACCATGCTGTAAAGGCAAGGTAAAGAGAAAAGAGATGACAGGCAGAGGGAAGGTGGACATGGGGTTTGGTCCTCTGAGATTCTGCAATACTGCATAGACATGTCTTAACAAGACGCCTTTACAGGTGCTCATCCTGTTCCTCCATCAGGCTCCGGGGGTCCCTGCTGTCCCCATGAGGGGGTCGGCCCCCTCGACAGGCTCCTGAGTGGGGGTCTGGTTGTTGGGTTCAGCCGTGATGACGATGGTGTTCTCGTCCACAAGCTCGCAGGTGGGGTTGGCAAAGGCTGAGAGAGGAAGAGTGATGCGATGCATCTCACGCTCGTAAACCCGCTGCTCGTGCTGTTTCTTGAGGTCACGACCCCTACGGGACAAAACACAAAACCATTTCACTTCAACCACTGCCAGGTTTAGTCATGTTTTTGTCACTCATCAATTGAATGAATAATAGAATGGGGTATAAAAGTCAGACACCACAAGTGAAATTTTTATTTTGCATATTTTTTTCAACGTTCTAAATTGTAAATCTTTTTTTTTTTTTTTTTTACATTTAAGATATTTTTTCATTACAAATTCTTCAGCATTACAAATTTGAGTGAAAAGTTTCATAAAACATTGTGCTGTTCAAATGTTTCTTCTTAGAGCCATAAATAACATAAGTTTATCATGTTTGTCTGGATATAGTGATTTTCGTAAATTAATATATGCATATTTTCAAAATTTATACTGTATCACATGACTTTAGTAACTTAATATTTTGAATTGGATGAAGAAAAAAAGTGACTTGGTACTAGACAGTCTTTTGACCATTGAAATAATTAAAATCATATTTAATTAAAAGCTTGATTAAAAGTGTAATGGTTCTTAAGTTTGGTTTAAATTTTGTGACCTGAAAAACAAAAAGTGAACTGTTACACTGTAATTTTATGCATTCACACATCAAATCCTTTGTGCCTGACCCCTGTGGAAATGATGGTGAATGGAAATTATGTGTCATTATATGTTATGTCGTCATGATCTTTGATTAAAGATGATAGTACTTTAACCGTTAAGACCCTGTTTGTTAAACTCAACAAAAGTCCAAGGTTTCCAATTAACTGCTCCAAAGAGAGTTTTCCAAATTCATACTTTCGGTCTCGGAAACACAGACTCGAAGAACCACTCTGAATTACATAATCAAAAAGAACGACTTATTCAGTGTTTCCACTTTATTTCCTCTGAATATTATTTCCATTTCTAATATATCCATTCAAGCTAGACTGTAATATTTAACAGTGACACACTACAGACAGAAGGAGTGATTTGTCTCCAGTATTGTCTATTTTTAGACAAATGCTCTAGTGGAGAGGACCAGCTCTAATTCGTCACTCGCTGTCAAGGAAGAAACGGATCTCGATCACTATCCTTTACCGTTTCATGAAAATGGCAGTTGAATGTTGGAGAAATCTCATATTACTAAACAGACCCCTGTCTTATCCTTCCTTTCACTCCATCTCTAGCCATTCAGACTGTGCATGGCAGACTTGCGGCGTGTTATGCAATCCTCCTACACTTACCCAGCACTTTTCCTAGTTTTATAGGTTAACACTCCTCTCAGCCCAACATCCTGCCCCTGCTTATTAATACTGAGCCAATTAATCGCTAGATAAACCATGACATACACACATTATCAGCTGACGCACGAGTACATGCTGCCCAAGGCTACTGAGTGCCCTGCCAAACTCTTTACAAGATAGAGATGAGATATTATATCCCCAATTATGATTTTTACTGTCATCTATTATCACATAAAACATCACCAGATATATATATATATATATATATATATAAAAAAGGAAATTATAAAATG